GGGATCCAATTTTTTTTTGCATGCTGTACATTTTAAGCGACATTAGACAGATGGAGGTCATTGAATTTCCTATTCTTATTTGAATCGCAATGTATACTAACATCTCATTTTGTTGTTGTTCAAAAATGATGGTAGGTTTGCTGCCGAATCTAGCTAGATGCACCTAGAGGTGCCCCTTTATAAAATTCGCTGACGTTTGTCGTTGATTGCCGTCAATCTCTGTCATATGTCGCATACCGAAAGACTGGCTCAATAAGGTGCCGGAGCACGCACAGATAAAGTTTTGAGTTATGTACTTATAACAAAAAAAAATGTTACCTATTACATAAAAATAGTGACTACATGACTATAGTTACTAGTAGACAAACTCGGTTTTGTTAAAATAGTGTTGTTGTTATAACAAAACTGTTATGTAAAATTTACAAACCTCCGAACTACATATTTTGGTATCTGCAACATAATTTTCTGATGAATTATAGCTGTATATTATTATCTTAGGTACTTGCAAAAGTACTTTTCTGCTTTAAAACCCTGTACGTACTACTTACTAACAAGTAAGTACTGGGGCTTAACAGGGGATTGGTGTAATCATAATACCCTGGTTCCCAATTTATTTTGGCACATTTCTCCCAGCTGGAAGAGTACAAATTCAATTCAATAAATATGTCTTAATCAAAGCAATTTGTCTTTATAAATTTAAAAAATCTGTTTTTACGGTGTTGAACCAATTGGCCTCCTAAATGGGCAGTACCAGTATCCTTTTTCCTCTAGTCCGACTAGTTAAATTCGTTATGAGAAGAAAAACGTTTGTATTTACTGGTTCCATGGTTGACGTTAGTAGAACTATGTGATATTTATTTACAGTTACACTATTAATAGTAGCTAATTATCGATTGTACGGAAAAATAAAACCGTTCATTCTACTTCCTATATACGCAATAGGATTATTACAGGGAGGTCACAGTCTTGAAGACGCATTTTATCACACGCAAAGTTCGCACTTTAATATAAAACCCATGTTTTTAGTCGCAGTTACTGAAAATGGTAAACTTTAACCCCCTTATTAATAAACAAAGATTACGCATGGATTAATTACTCCATGTTTTGTCCCTGTCTGTTGAATGACAAATGGCATTTGAGTGACATGAACAAAACACAGTGTTACTAGTATAAGCTTATTTTTTGTTTATTAATAAGGGGGTAAAGGACTATGCAATACGTACATAATATACTAAACAGTATATGTTATGAAATATATTGACAACATCAATTTGAATACAACATTCTTTCACACACCAAAATTTAAAATTGTGTTGATCTGGTACTTTTGTTTGACAAAAAAATTAAGTGATGTAGGTATATGTTATGGGCCAAGTGATTAATGCGGGCAGTATTCATAATGCCAGGGCAGTAATAATGCCCAGCCATATCGGGCCAAGTGATTAATTATAATCTAAACTCGCCTATTTATCACATTGCCCGGTCATTATTAATAATGCCGGACGGCTCGTAGTCCATGTAATAAGTCAGTGTTTGAGATAGCTTGAATTTATCGCTTGGACCGGGCAGTATGAATAAATTCAAAAAGTTGATAATATTGTCAAAATGACAGATGTCTCGCCATTTTGTGTTTGTTTTGAGATCTTGGTACATAAAAAATAGTATGGGCTCAACACTTGGAAAAAAAGGTAAATGTGGCTTTACAACAGTCTTTAATTCAGAACCGACTTGGTCAACCCCGACACGCCGTGGTCTTGGTCTGACTTACCCCTAGAGTGTTTTTTAGAGCCTGGAGGCGTAGAGGGAGAGCAACCGCCGCCTGCTGTGACAAAGCCGCAAGAATCGTGCGACCCGTAGCGCCTGAGGCCGCCGGAGGTGGCGACCAACAAGCCGAACGTGTGAAGGGTAGTGATGCTTGTGACTTTGTTATGCAAAGGTGGAGGGGCTGCTATTCCCGCAGCGCCGGAGATAATGCTGAAGTACTAGTTCTTACTTCCCTAGTCCTTGCAACCTAAAAAATAGGGAACCATAAATTCTGAACATTTAACAGATTTATTGAATTTTTCAAACAAACTGCATTTAAACTACTATACACTATAGTTTCTAAATGTAGCCCTTAGTAAATTGATCGAATAAAACCGATTATTTAAATTTTAAAAATAAATACTAAACTATAAAACATGTTTTTATTAATACTCTACCCGATAATTGATTTCATTACTTGTAATGCTCGGTCTATCTAACTAAGTATTCATTTGAAAGTATTAAACATGCTTTACATCACTCTTCCCAATGGACACTTGGCATTATTCATAATGCCCGGGCAATGTGATAAATTGATTGGTTATAATCACATTGCCCGCTCATATTGGGCATTATGCATAATGCCCGATTAACCACTTAGCCCTTAACATATATATACTTTTTTTATTCTCAAGCTGCAATTTTGACATTTGCGGAGCATTATGGCGTTATTAATTACAAATAGCTTTTGATAGCTCATTATAAAACAGTTCAGTCATTATATTTTATATAGTTTGGACAACGAGAAGCGATACAAAATGTAAACAAAGTCGATGAAGGGTCATTGACCAATGCAGAGGTTGTAAAATTTTTCGAAGATGACATTTTATTTATGAAAAATTGATAAAGGACGTTTATCCTTTTAATATTCAATTAGGCATTATATTCAAATAAAATGTAGAAAACTATCATTCATAAATTATTAAAACAGATAAGCACAACAGTTCAAAACTCTAAAATTATTTGTTATTACCATGGGTAGTATCGGAAAGACACTAAACTATATGAAAATACCTATGTCATTATAATTTACTGTAAAATGGGCGCCCGAATGTAGGCGAATCCGGCGCCTCGGCCTCATGTCATATAAATGAGATGAAGAGATAGTTTTTAGACTGTCAGTCCCATAGACTCGTATAAGGTGAATAAACTTTTGTATCGCTTCTCGTTGGCCTTACTTTAATAACTTGGTATTCGAGTGTTTTTTTCTGTTGGCAAGTAAGTGAAAACCGCATAGATTTAATAATTTTAAAGCTATTGTAATTTTTGGAACCTTCAATGTGACAGTTTTAATTTATAATACAAATAATCAAATTAAGTTGCGAAGGTAGATTCAATTTAATTACGCCCATATTTAAAAAAGTTAATACAATTAAATATTTGTTAGTTACTTACAAGTGAAGTTTTATATAGCGAACTTCTGTAACATTCGCGTGTAGATAAACATTTTATACTTTTCGAGAAGAACTAAACACCGCCTAATATTTAGAAATATTTTTACCATAAAAATGCAGCGTACGGTGATTACGTACAAGCAATATAATAGAACTGTAAAGAATATTATGTAGAACTCATTACATTACGCAATTCCCCAAAATTTCCGTTATTGTCACAATTTTAATTAGATTTTGATTGCTTATTTATTTATTGTCATAGAACATCAATGAAAACATGTCTAAATGTTAGTACAAGAGCCAGGCATCAAATATCCCAGTCGTACTTAAAACATTGAAATAAAATTTAAGTTTTTAAGTTAAACCAATGTTAAAATAGTTGATAAACATGCAATTTCGTGTTCTTATATAATTTAAATCTAATAGTTATAGAGAGTATTTCTTTTTATTATTACAGTTCAATATCCCAACAGTAGTAATGATAACGAAACCCTATTCTAAGCCTCCGCTGTTCTTCAATCCGTGTAGACTATAGACCTGTAATCCTAAAATTTTCACGGAATTTGTATTACCATTGTCACTGGTAAAATGAAAAATTAATTTGTCCGACCCAGTGCGAAACCTTGTATGAAATTATTCTGTCACAGGGTTGCCAGAACGCTGGGCTTGTAACATTATGCGTTACTTTTGGCCTTTGGCGTTCCTTTCACGTTACCCGACCCGACAAAACGTTACCTTTTCGTATTTTTTTAATTGAAATAAAATATTAAATATTTGCATTTACCAAATTTGAATTCCGTTTATCTCTATAGTGATGTCTTCTTTTCTCTCTTTGCTGTCAATGTAAGGAAGATACTCGTAGATCCTTAGGATTCCTTATTCTGAGGTTACGTAGGACAACACAAAAAGTCATAATTCTAAAAGCTATTTCGAAACTTTAATCTAATAATATTTTTTTATATAGCTTCATGAGCTCTTTGGTACTTACCTAATATTTATGGTCGTTTTTAACTTACCGTTGATAATAAAGAGTTGACAAAAAGAAATCATTTACCAACTAAAATTGGGTTTTACTCAAGTCTAATGTGAATTTAAATCAAAATTGTTAATACGTATTGGAAATTATCAAACATAAAATAATAAATGTATGGATCTGAACCATATGAACTGCAGATAACTACAAAGTTTGCATCAGAAGAAAGTTTTCGTGTTTGATAAAAACGTTATTGTTTTGAGGTAGGAACGCTAGTCAGCATTCTCTGTTTTACATATATACATTAATCGAAAATTTACTTTTTAAAAAGTCCTGTGTTACTTTTGTTAACCGGGTTCTAGGAACACTGTACTGTCGGTTATTGCACTTGGCCGGTTTCAATTCTTAATAGTAATTTTAATTAAAAGGATTGCGCATGGTCTCTAGGACTATACTTGATTAAATGTTATTAAATAATGTTCACAATCATTTACTACACGTAAATATAAAAGGCCACAACAGCGACAACATGGTGTTTCTAAGTGATAGCGATTACTGTGATAGTATTAATTCCATTATTTTGATAATTGATTCATACAAATAATGTGTAATTGTTGGTAAAAATATTTTTTACGATTATCATCAGAGAGATTACAGAGATTAAAAGTGAGTCATCTCACAATTTCATATATATTCGATGTCTATCTGTAGATAAAATTGTGAAGATAAATTTTTGCTATCAAACTGCACTTTTTATACTCTGCGGACCACGCCAGCAATAAATGCCTTTAAGGTAAAAAAATTATCATAACCAATATTTTCTGTTCTAGATATTGCTTTTCGAGAAGACGAAGGCCGTCGCTCTGTGACATCTTATCAGTAATTTGGTGAGTGAATTTATTCAACTATATTTAATGCAGATTTCGGTTCAAAAAACATATATTTCAATAAATTACGGGAGCTGTTGCAATTGTATTTCAAAACGGGTCTTAGAGAAATTCATATTCCATTTTGCTTTGTGTGCAAATGTGAAACATTTGTAAAAAGTATTATGTTATTGTGCCTCGATGATAATTCTCTTTGCTGACATATTTGTAATAAATTTCACTTTACTTGAAAACTATTTTTTTAAGATTTGTGTAAAAACAAAAAAAAGTTATTTGAATGTGTTTAGAAGTCTATCATATCTGTGGGAGTTTGTCAAATGGTACCTATATGAACTTGAAAAATGAGAGTTTTCCTTACATGTGTTAAACACATTTTTTTTAAAGCCTGTTTTATTATACCTACACTTTATATCTAGGTACTAGGTGCCCATCTAACATAAAACAAAGAACTATTAAAAATTAAAATTCCAAAAATAGCAAATTACTTTCCGTTGCGTCAGAGGCAAGTCAGGTCAGTGACCAAACGTTTGCGTTATTTGAAACAATATATTTTTTTAATAACGGAAAGTTCCCCCTATTAGTCTTGTTCTTAAAATTATTGACTGCGAGGTTCATGCTGACCGGACTGTACTGTGGCAGCGGAGGTAGTGACGTACTCGTGACGCGCGCGCGAGCAACACCGCGACCGCCCAGGCGCACGCGACGCCAGTCTCCGCTCAACGCGCACAACCTGCGCGCGCACCACATACTATTTCAATACAAATTATCGCGAAAGTCGAACGCTTTTTTGCATTCAATAGGTGTCTTCAGTCTTTTAGAAAAGGTTCATCCTTTTCGACGTGCATCCGTTTTGTGAGTAGAGCACCCATGCCTTGTCGTGACCTTAATAAGCGAACCTCGTAACTCCATTTTGTAGTGATTTTAAATAATAACAATATTTATACTATTTACAACCATTAATTATGAACAATTAACTCTAGTAGTGTACTTATTCTTGATCTTTTCCTTCTTTCATATTGATTTGTGTTATTTGTATATTTATTACATCTTTATGAAAAAAGTGGAATTACGAGATTTTCATAAAGGTATTAATAGGATAAATCATATTCAATAACATAACTTATGCTCATTGCATTTAAAAACCTTCACTCACTGTTACCATAATCAATTGATGTATTGTTTTTAGTCGAATTTTTTTTACGTATCTTGTAATAATGCACTAAACTGAAAATAGAATCAAGCGTATGCTGAAAATTAAAAAAAAACTGCTTACAGTATGTAAACAATGATAGATGAAGTTATGATAAGAAACATCGATATTTCTAATACATTCACTTTTTTAAATCAATATTTTATCTTTTTTAGAATGACATTAGGAGAACCCGCAAATTGTAGGTAACCTAGTCTAAAAAATTGCAACATTAACAAAGCGCTTGCCTTGACCTCAATCTGCGACCTCTTTCTGTGTTCTGTGCTCCTATCCCATGGAGCTGCGATATCCTCATACGCCATAGGAACACAACTCCACATAATCATGATTTTCGTAATAGTATTTTGTAAAGTGGCATTTAAATTAAAAATCAGTCAATTGAATGTTGAAGGTATTCAACGCGCCTTCACGAGACTTAATATAGCCTTTCAATCGCAAGGTTCAATCATATGTGTAGTTAATAGAACGCCTTAGTTTCTTCAAGCTTAATTGCCTTTCTGATCCAAGAAAATTGCACGACTTAATCTTTCTGTATAAAGTTGTCAACAATCGCATTAACTGATACGAGATTGTCAACTGTGTCTCGTCTGTGCCACATGGGATACCCCGTATTAATAAATTTAAAAAGACATTTTATACTCGACTTGTAGGAACAAATATCGGTCTTAGTTCTCCCTCAGTAAGAATGTGTCTCCATTATAATATGCTCAGTATAGTTAAGTGTTTTTTTTTTTTTTTTATCTTTATTTGGGAAACAAACAATGAATTAATACTTGGTTATTTTTTTGTTTTATTGGTAAAAACATTAACGTCTTTCTCAATTTTAATTACCTGAACTCCTTTATACCTAAATCTAATTAACAAACATACATCAATAAAGTTTCCACTATTATATAAAACATATAAAGGAGGTCAGGTAATTAAAATTGAGAAAGAAAAAAGACGTTAATGTTTTTACCAATAAAACAAAAAAATAACAAGTTTTGTTGGTTACAATTAATAATTATGAACTATCTACCATATCGTGAATACATTTTTTACAATTTTTGAGTGAACAGTTAAATATGTCGATTGATGTGAACCTATTGTTATAATCAGTACAAGACCTTATCACGAAAGTATTAGCAGTATATTTGGTGATAGGCAAACTAAATAAACTTTTTAAACGGGAGCCTGCCCGAGGGCATCTTAAACCAATGCTATTCAAAAGGAATGGAGAGTCAATGAGACTTGATATTGATATTTTTGGTAGCTCACTGTCGATGTTTAGAAAAAAAGCGCTGGAATCACTTGCATTTTCCAAATGCTATTCATAAAAACATTGTTATAATGGTGGTTTAAAAATTTTATCTACTATATATTTTTTTTATGCTTAGATCACATTTCAATAATTAATGTTGCCTAAAGTCTAAATTTATACGGTTTATACGGTGTGAGGTAGTTTTTATTAAGCTGAAAATCTGAATCAAAAACGGACTATGAAAATGTAATAACTTAGACGCAATTTGTCATTGACTGACAGATGACAGCTATATTGGTTTAAATTCATTTCCTTCATTGTGATTGTGAAACTGAACCCATGTAAGTTACCTTGTTTGTCCGTCTGTTAAAAACCTCTTTTATCTCAGATACCTCCACGCGTTCCTGACATAAATGGTTTTAACAGACGGACAAACAAGGTGACTTACAAGGGTTCCGTTTTTTCCTTTTGAGTTATGAAACCCTAACGCTTGGAGGTATCAAGTTGAAATTTAAACCTTAAACTAAAGCCTACGGTTCCTTGAAACTGAAAAAGTCACACTTCTAAGTTAAAGCAATAAAGACACGGTCGTTTATGTTCCGTACCTACAAATTTGTGCGCGGAACCATCTGTGGGCGAGTCCGACTCACACTTGTCCGATTTTTTCCCTCAATTAAAAAAGGTTTTTCGCGCTCATTTACATTGTCTCCTATCGTAATTTTATTGCCAAAAAGTTCAAGCACAAAGGAGACCGTTCAAAAGTGGTAGTCGGGTTCCGGCAGCGATGAAACATAACATCATTTTAAAGCTTGTTTTATTTAATGACAGGAACAGATAGTTATATTTTTTTATTTATCTTCGATTAATTTTAACTCGTGTTTGAAAATTTAATAATTTCGTAAGAATGCTGGCCACCCTATCATAAGTCATGTCATATTTTTTGTCTGTAGCAGTTTAATAACATAAACTCAATCACTATAAAATGTCAATCAGTCCAGTTAAGCCCGATATTCGTGAAATCGTAGTGGAATTATTATACCAATTTCAGATTGTTTTTCGTGAAATTCAATACCCACAAAATATCTAATAACGTAATGAAAGATGAACAGAATCATTATCACTGCTTTAGTTACCCATTGAATAGAATATATTTGATGCTTTGGCAACATTAGATTACATATATAAACTTGCCAATTACCAATCAATAACTATGTTATTTTAAATTATAATAATTATTTTAATAAAAAGGGGGAAAAATAAACGGTATTTTTTGTCAAATGATTTCTAATTTCGTGTACATGTACTGCACGTCATATAAATTTGGAGTGTCCCGGAGACTGACTACCACCCTCCATACAAATTTGAACAGTGTCCTTTGATAGCTCCGTAATCGTATCGCATCGTCTTCATCGTCTGGTTTATTTGGACTGCACGTACTGAAATCACGTTAACTTTTTCCCAATTAAGAGACATTAGATGATTATGTTTAAATATATACCATTATTACAAAGAATAGGACGTGCAATATACTACCCTGAAGACCTCGATCTGAATCGAAAAAACAATAGTAACATTGTTAGATAGGCTTTACTAAAGGGGTCCCTCAAAGACGTCTATTATTTCTCAAGTTTAATTAAAGTTAATGCGGTCGCTTTTTTGCTTCAACAATAGAATAAGTTTGTATAACACATGTATTAATGAAACATAAAAACACAATCAAACTCTTTTGATACCTATGTCCAATATTTATCCCCTCGAGTTGCTAAATTCCACCCGTACAAACATACATATATTGCAAGTTAAATAAAAGCTTCTAACAGAAATAAATATAATTTTGCATTTTTATATGGATACCTAGCGGCCGCCCGCGACTTTATTTGCGTTAACTTTAGTTTTTTGACAATCCCACAGGAACCCAACATTTTCCGGAATAAAAAAAAACATCCAAATCCATTCAGAAGCTTTTGCGAGTAACAAACATACAAGCACATAAAAATATAAACTTTCACATTTATAATATTGGTAGGATAAGATGTCATAGGGCACAAAAGATCGCTGATATAACTACTACAACTACTAAACATAACTTCCAAATCGAGTTCCTAACTGTCATCGTTAATTAGGCCGGACCGAATCCATAGTTGATTTGTTCATCTGCTGTTATATAACTACTACGACCGACGACGGTGTTTCGCTCGGCGTCCAATTGATCATCGCTGCATATCGATGACGTTTGCGCAAGCGCAGTGAACGACGGACGTCGATCAGCGGCGCGTCCGTCGCGTCATGCTCATGGTCTTGTTGCCTGACACCTCTTTAACATAAAGATTTTTGTTGTAAGAGAGTTGTAAAAAACCCAATCTAATATATAAAATTCTCGTGTCGCGGTGTTTGTGGTTAAACTCCTCCGAAACGGCTTTCCCGATTCTCATGAAATTTTGTGTACATATTGGGTAGGTCTGAGAATCGGACAACATCTATTTTTCATCCCCCTAAATGTTAGGGGTAATCCACCCCTTAATTAAAATTCTCGTAAGTATTCATATACTT